GGTGCCATTTGTTTTCACATGCGATGTTCAGAAGTGCCTCTAATTCACGAAAAACTTATGACGTCACCAATACCATGCCCTATGCATGTTGGAGCTAATTTTTACAATTTGGGATCAAAAATCAAGATGGAAAGTTGGAATTTGGGACATCTAATGTTCTAATAGAGCTCTATAACATATATTCCGTTTTTTGCAAATTCCAAAAAATTTGGATTTTATTAATGTTTTCCAAAAAATATAGTTTTTTGAATTTTTTGGGGTGAAAATGGCATTTTATGGAAAATCCCAGATCATTTTAAAGAGCTCGAAAATCACACAATACCTCAATAACAGCACAACGAACCTACAACCGACACCAACAAAACTACACCAAAACTCGCGAGGAAAACCGAAGGTTACCTCAAAATCAATTTTTGAAATGCAACGCGAGGTGACTCGCAAGTCAAAAACTCGCCGACTCACTCGTTGGGTGTGACCCACACTCGCTCGTCGCAGTGTAGGTCACTCAATGTAGTATGCATTCTTTGTATTCAATGTATTCTTTAACTTTGAAGAAACCCACAACCCATAAACTCGCAACCCGTATGTGAGGTTCAGTGTGGGGGGCCTTAAGCCGACTCTGGGTTCAACTGGGCTGATGAAGGTGACATAACGGTGCCTCTCCTCAAATGGCTAACTCATTCATGTCTTTATACCTCTGTAGCAATAGCCGCATTGATGCTAAATTGATGCAACCTCTGCATCTTACGTTGACAAGGATAGGGAGCAAGGAGCGGAGAATTAACCCTCGCCCCGTTGGGGGAGGGGCATTTTGCCCCCCCCCCCCCCCTGTGGTTTTTCCTGAATAGCAAGAAAACAGCGGCGCGCAGCGCCGCCAAATTTTCAGTACCTTCCCGGGCATCAATTTGACACCTTCACAACCAAATTTCAAGTCTTAGGTCAGGAGTTAGGTATTGAGGTCAAACGGAGGTCATGTTCGAGGAAAAATGAGCAAAAACATGCAATCTTGAAACGCTCACTAAATTTACAGTTATCAAGCATTTCAAAGTTCTTTATATGGTCTAGTAGACAAAAAGCGGCGCTACAAAACTGCTATCTGGGATTTTCAAAATTTTTGGGTTTTGGCCCAAAAAAAAATCAAAAAATTGATTTTTATAGAAAAACTAAAAAATCCAAAAATTTTCCGAATTTCGAAAAAACCGGAATATATGTGATAGTCCCTGCGCTCTTCTATATACGTACCAAATTCCAGATCGATATCTCGTTTTTTGGCCAAGTTATAGCGAAAAAACTGTTCAAAAATGATGACGTCAAATTTTTGAACTCAATTTTTAGCGATTCTAGACGACGTACGGTAAAACAAAGACCACCATTGAACTCCCCGTGACGAGCTGCATCGATCCGATACCCATTTTAGGCAAAAATATCAACTTTGAAATTTGACCTAATTTGACCTGAACTTGACCTGACCTTGACCAAAACGTGACCTAATCTGGCCCCAAAGGCTGCCTGACCCACATAATCGCATTTGTCATGTAAAATGGACCATAAAACATGTATCACACGACACTTTCATATTGTGACCCCCCAGTGACCTGACCTCTGTGACCTGACCTGGTATCAGTGACCTCAAATAGCAAAATATGTGTTTGAAGAACATTTCCCCATCGATGATTTTCAATGAAATGCATTTTACTCGATTTTACAACGCATTTCTTGAAATGCCTGTAAACGGTGAAAATTGGACTTTTGACCTGACCTGTGACGTCATCGGTTTGACCTAGGTCAATAAAATTGGGTCACAATGTAGTTCCCTGATAGGGCTATCCAACACCGTTTGCCGCTTGTCGCTAGGTTGCGTGGTTCTCGAGATCTTAGGGGGGGGGCAAAATGCCCCCCCCCTCCAACAGGGCGCGTTGCTCGGCAGAGCCCAACGGGGCGCGGGTTAAGTTGTCATCAAATATGACACGGTAGCTGACCTCACTGACCTGCTAGGAATGCGGCAAAGAAGCCGTAGGTGCCATAGTCGAAGATGGTGTGATTGCAGGCGGCCAGCAGGGCCAGGTCCCGCTCCACGCCGGGGGATTCGCTGCGTGGATCGCCCAGAAAGTGCACATCGGGCGCACTCAAGTGCTGCCTGCGGGCGAGACAGACGAGCATGGTTCGGTGAGGTTAACCCGCGCCCCGTAGGGGGGGCCGAAACGGCCCCCCCCCCTGTCCTTTTCGGTCGATATCTCCTAAACGGCTGAAGATATCATCACCAAACTTTCAGGACCCCTCCGGGCATCAATTTTACACATTGTGACCAAAATTTTTTCCAGAGGCTATGATATGTTGGCCACAAATGACGTCAGAGTGACGTCATGTTCTGTCATTTTCGACCGAAAAAAGACCTTCGCGAGAAGACCTGTCAGGACTACAGCTTTGAAGATACATAAAAATGATCAGACATTAAAGGTGTAGAATTGACAGGGCTACAAAACTGCTATCTCGAATTTTTGAAATTTTTGAGTTTTGACCCCCAAAAATCAAAAAAGCATTTTTTTGGATATATTCGCCAAAAAATCCAAAAAGTTTTTTGAGTTTCGGAAAAAACCGGAATATATGTGATAGTGCCTACCGTCTTCTATCTACATACCAAATTTCAGATCGATACCTTGTTTTTTGGCCAAGTTATAGCGAAAAAACTGTTCAAAAATGATGACGTCAAATTTTCAAACTCATTTTTTGGCAATTCTAGAACTCGTAGAGCAAAACGAAGACCACCATTAGACTCCCCGTGACGAGCTGCATCGAATCGATACCCATTTTATGCAAAAATATCAACTTTGAAATCTGACCTAATTTGACCTGACCTTGACTTGACCTTCACAAAAACGTGACCTAGGCTGGCCCCAAAGGCTGCCTAACCCACATAATCGCATTTGTTATGTAAAATGGACCATAAAACATGTATCACACGACACATTCATATTGTGACCCCCGGTGACCTGACCTCGCTGTGACCTGACCTGGTATCAGTGACCTCAGATAGCAAAGTATGTGTTTGACGAACAATGTACCATCGATGGTTTTCAATAAATTGCCAATTTACTCGCTTTCACAGCACATTTCTTGAATTGCCTGTGAACGGTGAAAATCTGACCTTTGACCTGACCTGTGACGTCATCGGTTTGACCTAGGTCAATGAAATTTGGTCACAAGGTAGTTCCCTGGTGGGGCTATCGAGCACCGTTTGAATTTTGAAAATCGGCCGGTAACTTTCCGAGATCTTAGGGGGGGGCCGAAACGCCCCCCCCCCCCTACGGGTGGTAGGGTCCGCCGGTAGCCCTACGGGGCGCGGATTAAAGATCAGCTCCAAAATCACCCTAACAACATGTAAAACTCGAAAAGTTAGCCAACGTCTTTCGGAGTTCCACCTTGACCTCACCTTCACGTGGCTTTGACATCCACCATTGCGCATGGAACGTCCATCATTGCACTAGTTGAAACGTTTTTATACTGTATACAGAAAACGTCTTGAACCGCATGGGCGGCATGAGCTGGCATACGCTGAGATGCGCTTACAACATACGCTGACCTATTCCGGCCGGACATGATGTCGAGAAAAAGGTTAGGTACACGTCCAGCTGGGTCAGAATTCTGAAATTTTCTGGGGAGAGGGTGTGTGTACAATTTATTAACTCAGCGGTGCTGAATGTGTCGTCGCGATCGGTCGCTGTAACGCGAGGTAATTCGTGAAATTCCGAGGGGGGAGTATAGTCCATCCGACCTCCCTATAAGTGCGTGGTAAACCCCGCGCCGGGCGGAGGTGTAAACCCCGCGCCACCATGACTGACCGAGCTCTCCAGTCCCAACTTCACGCTGGCTTAGCTTTGGAACCGCAGCAGGCGGCGGAGGTCAAGGTCACTGCATAAGGCGGCGGCGGATTTGTTGCGCCCGGCACCACCAGGGCCTCGTTTCATAAAGCTCTGCCGTAACTTACACCTTTCCGTAAATCACACCCTTTCAAACTACGGAGCGCAAATGAAGCCGTTTCACAAAGCCACAAATGGAATTGTTTACACCTCCGTAACTAAGCACATTTGCGTAGTTGCCGTAATTTATCAAGCGTCCTACAAATTACAATTTCATGTCACTTATTTTTTACGAGAAATTATAAAACAATTATGTTGAATTTAAATCTTAAAAATTATTTATGAAAAACAAAATTGATATTGATGACCATCCTTTATTAAATCAATATGAAAACAGCAGAAAGCCAGCTAAGCAGAAGTGCCTAACTACGAAAGTGGCGCGGCGCGGCGAATAAACAAAATTCCGATAGTGGCCACAAAAAGCGACTGGTACAGAAGATTTGCAGTTTCTCTTTTCATTTTGGCTGTTCTTTCTTCCTCACCGGGCTCAACATTGTAAAATATATTAAAAATTAGCTTCGAATCTTCACATTAATTCAAATTCACGCAACATTTTTGTGCGTAGTTTACACCACTGATATCAAGCACTTGATAAAATATTTGGCGTTAATTACGTCGTTTTATGAAACCCAAATGGCATCAATTGGTCCGGAATCAAGCATTTGCCGTAAATGGAGCTCCGTAATTTCGATGGCGTGAATTACTCCGGTTTCCGGCTTTATGAAACCGAATTGGCATCAAATACGCCAAATCTGGAATAATTGACGGAACGCCGTAAGTAATTCCTTTTATGAAACGAGGCCCAGGGCGCGCGAAGCGTCGGGCCGGTGAAACAGAAGCCGAGTATCTAGCTGGCAGGCTGATTTGATCCTTCATAGTCGAAAGGTGGGCTACTAGAATCGAAAATTGATTTGTTTGTAAATAAATAACCTGCGCCCCGTAGGGGAGGGAGGGGGGCGAAACAGCCCCCCTGTCCATTTCCGTACATATCTCCTACACGACTGCATCTATCGTCACCAAACTTTGAGGAGCACTCCGGGCATCATTTTTTTTTTATATAAATTTTGTCCGAACCTTTTTGATAGGAAGGATTCACAAGGACAGAGCCACCGCTAAGCGAAGCTTGTTGCGGTGACCCTGCCCTCTACCCTCCGATCGCGCAATTCCAGTTCTATGGCAGAATTTAGAGTCAAAAGTTTAACGCCCAAAAAAGTTCCGCGGGAAGAGCTGTCAGGCCTATGCTTTGAAGATAGAGAAAAATGTTCCGGACATAAATGTGCAGAATTACCAGGGCTATAAAACTGTTATCTCGGATTTTTTTTTTTTGGGATTTTGACCCTAAAAATGAAAAAAGAAGAACTTCTGGATATAATGGCCAAAAAATCCATAAGGTTTTTCGAATTAAAAAAAAAAAACGGAATACATCTGATAGTCATTCCACTTCTATCCATATACCAATTGACTTTAATCTCCTTTTTGACCAAGTTATAGCGAAAACACTGTTCAAAATTGATGACATCAAATTTTCAATCCCCGGCTCATCTAGTGATAGACGTTCGGTTATGTCAGCTCTGTGGTTGTACCCCCCATGGATCACCCTGACTCTGGCATCACGGCACTTAATGTCGTGAACTCTTCCATTGTGTCGGGAGAGCTGCCAGTGTCGTGGAAAATCGCAACAGTTCTCCATCCATAAAGCAGGGAGTACAGCAGACCCCAGCAATTACCGGCCCGTATCAATTTGCCGACCGTCGCGAAGCTGGTAGAGAGTGTTGTCTGTCTCCAACTGATGTCGTATCTACTGTCACACAACATACTCTGCGATGAACAGCATGGGTTCCGGCCGGGCCGATCCACGGAGTCGGCGATGCTGGACGCTGTTGGGTATTTAATGGACGGCATGGACCGTGGGTTCATTGGCTGCCTTACCACGGCCGATACGTCCAAGGCGTTCGACAGCGTTCGGCATCATCCCCGGCTCCTGGAGAAGCTCGGCTGGTACGGGATTGATACCCACTGGTTTGTGAACTGGCTCGGCGGGCGCAGACAGGCTGTGAGAGGTGGTACAGGTGACACGCTGCCCATTACGCATGGCGTGGTGCAGGGGTCCCTGATCGGCCCAGTGTATTTTTAATTTTACAAACGATTTAGTGTCTACATAGACACAGAGGAGTCCAAAATAGTCATGTACGCCGATGATGTCCAGTTTTTGCACCGGAGTAGACCCGACGATCTGTCTCAACTGAAAGCGAGTGTTGAGCGCACCGTAGCCACCGCGCACAGTTGGTTTAACGAAAACAGTAAAAATTAACCCCACTAAAACGGATCTTATTCTTATCAAGTCAAACAGGAGGTGTTAACCTCTGAATTTTCTGTTCAACTTGGCGATGCTTCAATCAGACCGTCTTCAACGGTGAAAGTGCTGGGGATGGATGTAGACGCAGGGCTGACTTTTGAGAAGCATGTGTCTGGCACAGTCAGACGCTGCTATGCCACACTCGGAGCCCAGTGGCGCGGGAACCGGGGGGGCTAGGGGGGCTGAGCCCCTCCAACTTTTCGGCTTGGGGGGCTCGTAATGTATTTGAGCCCCCCCCCCCCCCAGCTGGAGGAATCGAAATCGGAAATCTACCAACACAATTTCATAGATTCATACATAGGCGCGGGAACCGGGGGAGAGGGCAGTGGGGGAAGCTTGCCCTCACAACTCTGGGGCCGTGGGGGCGGTGCCTCACAACTTTTCATGAGGCCAGGAAACCGTTGGGGCAGCTTGTCCTCCCCAAATTAGGAGTTGTGAGTCACAAAGGAAGAAAGCATGTGAGTGAAAAATCTACCTATTTTACTGACTCGGCAACTCATTTGGCAGCTTAAACCTTTATTCCAGGTTGCCAAAACGTTAGTTTCTTCACTCAGCTGAGACGGAATACCTCACTTTTTTGCAAATATTTCTTCTTTTTCGTTGAAAAGGCCAAGGTCTGAAAAATAAGTGGCCTAAAACCGATGAGAGAAAGCTAGATTTGGGGGTACCCTAGGTTGATCTCTATGATGGTTCAGCCCCCCCAGTCTGGAAGAAGTTCCCGCGCCACTGCGGAGGCCTATCAAAAATGGCTGGCAAATTGCGGAGTCTGTAAAGAAAATGATTGTAGAAATGCTCATCTTTCCACATCTCGCCTACTGCTCTACTGTATGGGCTGGTTGCAACGCCACCCAGCGCCATCGGCTA